GTCAATATCAACTCTTATATCAAATATGTATATGTCTATAATTTTGTATCATATTGTGAACCATGGATGTAGAATTGAAAGAACTCATCATATACCCACCCCAGAGGAAATACATTTCTTTAGAATATCATTAATTTGATAAAATGATTAACTTTGTTTCCTTCAAACTTCTCTCATTGTCTGTTATTCCACAGATTTCCTCAACTCCAGTGGATTAATTGAGCGTGGCAGTCACTGTTAATGCAGATAAGCATTATGGTGTACAGTTAAAGACCTATGTGAATACTGACAGTACCAAACAGTGGTAATATGCAATCAATCAAGCAAGAGGTGGACTCCAGTGAGTCGTACAGTGGAGAGGATGCCCTGGTCCTGGCTGTGGCCTTACAAGGGGCCAACAGAGACCTGATGGGCCACAAAATCTCTGCAATCCCATTCAAGGGTAAAACAACCTGCCGCAGGAAAAGAGAGTTCATCCCAGAGGAGAAAAAAGACAACCTTTACTGGGAGAGGCGTCGCAAGAACAACGAGGCAGCCAAACGCTCGAGGGAGAAGCGGCGCATAAATGACATGGTGCTTGAGAACAAGCTGATGGCCCTTGGAGAGGAAAATGCCTCCCTGAAGGCTGAGCTCCTGTCATTAAAGCTGAAGTTCGGCCTGGTGAGCTCAGCAGCGTATGCCCAAGAGGCCCAGAAGTTATGCAGCTCTGCCACTGTCAACCTCTACCAGGAGTTTGTTCCACCCAGCGCTGACCCAGGTTCTTCCAGCAGGGATTTGGAGCCTCTTCATTTGCGCAGCAGCTGCATATCAGTCATCAAGCATTCACCTCACATGCCCGAGACATGCACTGCAACTCAGGGTGGCTTCAGCATCTGCAGGACTGCAGAGGTCAAGCAAGAACCAGCAGAGAATGGCAGCTATACACAGGAGAGGAGTAGTCCCTACGAGCTCTACAGAAACTACACAGCCAGCCCTCTGTCTGGTGTCTACTCCCAGGCTGCCTCATTCCTGCAGATCAGCAGGTCGTCCAGCGACTCCCCCAGGAGCTCAGAGGACGGCGCTGTGAGCAAATCTTCAGATGGTGAGGACGAGCAGCAAGTACCCAAAGGGTTGATACCGTCTGTAGCTGACCCAAGAAGTGTCATTGTCGCCACACACAAAGTGCCCGATGCCAGCTCTTCAGCTTTGCCCCATAAACTGCGGATCAAAGCCAGAACCATCCAAATCAAAGTGGAGGCCATTGACCCTGAATACGAGTTCTCTGGGAAGTCCTCATCCCCTGTCAGCATCACAGAGGGAGGGTGCGACCAGACAACTCGGGACTCTTCAGAGTACAAGCAGCACCCCCTGTGCCCTTTGTCAGTGCAGGTCTCCAACATGCAGGGGTGGACCCACCAGTCTGGGTGGCACAAAAGCAGCACAGAGACACTGTGGGATGGCTGCAAGAGTAGCAGGCGAACCCCGAGCCCCATCTCAAACAAAACTGCGGTGGACGTAAAAGAACCTTCCTATGCACACTCACATGCTGAGGACTCACATTTACAACAGGACCCGACCACCCTGTCTGCAAGAAGACTGACCATGACACAGCCAGGGTCTGTAATAGAGTCAACCAAAAGCACCACTGATCATTATGAGTCATTATCAAAAGGACGCTCCTCTGAATAACTTTTGTATATTGTGCATTTCCACTTCCTTTGCTGTTGCACTGTGTGGTTCTTATAAGGGTCAAATAATGTTTCGATTCCTGTACATTTTCAAATAAAAGGTTCAAATAATGACAGTCTAAAAGAGAGATGCTGCAAGCAGGTCACCTGTATAGCTCACCTGGTTAAAGTCAGTCTGATTTCAGCTTCTCTTAACACAAATACTGTTTTCATCCACTTGTTAATTCTGGTCTCTTCTTTGGTGTTTTTGTTTTTTGGACTACCATCAATTAAAATGAACACTTCCTGCAATATTACAAACCTCCAAAGAAACAGCAGGATTCTGTCCTTTAAGAAATCTGGAAGATTTTTCATGTAAAAAAAAATCTGCAAGAAGATTTGAATTTCATTGACAATAGTTTGATCGATGGATTGAAAAGTGAAATGAATGGTAATTGAAAACAGTATTTCTGTTAAAACAAACAGAAAGCAGCAGAGTGATGAGTATGACATGACTGACTGATCAAGTGGAGGAAACGTTTGCCTTAACAGGAGTTGATCAGAAAACAGGGAGATGTTTTATGTGATTGATTGTGGTTATAAAACGGAGAATTAGAAATAAAGGCCGATCTCCTCCATAGACCTGTTTCAGCTTGCTTCTCTCTGCAGTGGAGGAGGCTTAAATAAAGCATTTCCAGGCACCATTTGAGAATTTACCATAAATTGTTCATCAGTAATGTATGACACAACATGTGTGGAGTGAAACTTTTATTTTACTTTTACCACATTATTTCTGACTGCTGTCACTGGGCTTCAAGCATCATTACACACCTACTGCTACTGAACACTGCTCTGCTGCCTGCTGCCGTTATCATTACATGTTTGGTCATTCTTTGCCTTAAAGCTGAAATCCATAGGTTATGAATTCATTTAAAGTGGTTGGAGATGCAGCCCTTACTTCTTTAAAGGAATGTTTTATTTTATAGGTTTGTAATTTCTGAATAAGTCCCTTTCCTGGAAAGAAACATGAAATTTGATACATATCATGGGAAAACTAGATGTTTAATTGGCAACTTAAATTAACCGCTGTTACTAATGTAAGAGGGATTCTTTAGTCAGTACGCAGCATGTCAGCTGAACATGCAAAAATATGTATTTTTTAATAAATAAATGAACACATGGAGAATGAAGTTTCTAATAATAAATACATAATGAATTAATTATAAGTTCATTTTAAATTGAGCTTCTTTTCAATGATATTCCTCTTTTCCCTATAGTGTCAAATTACATCTTTACAGGAAACTTACTCAGAATGTATTTGAGTTACACACCTATACAGTATTACTGACTGACAGTGTTAATGCCGCTTACCTTCATCAGTGAAGTAAACAGTGCTATATTGTTGTACATGTTGCAGTCAGTGATATTATCACTGCTTTCCAGCAGGGAGCAGAAACAGCTTCACTGACTCCACACTGCACACTCCATCGTCTCTGCTGTGGTTTAAAAAGCAGAGACTTTTTTTAACCCGAGTTTAACGTTACTTTTAAACAGGCTCTGGTACATTCACTGGTTGCCAGACAGCCGTTGCTTCTCTTATGTTTTTTTCAGTAGTCTTGTTGATGACTTAAACTTTCCAGGGCACTTGTTTTAACTGAGAATGTGTGTGTGAGACTGGCTGAAGAATTGGAGTGTAACTGTGTTTTATAAAGCTCTGACACATATTCGCTCATGTTTTATCCCCAGTTTGTGGAAACTCAATTTTTATTATCAAAAGGTCTCCATGAAATTCAGCATTTCACCTTCATAGTTGGAGTAACTGTATTATTACATATTATGGAATCCAGAGCTGTCAGGGTTTCATCAAATGGTCTATTTATTCATTTCTTATAGACATTTGGGGTGATTACATCATACATTATGACTTCATCTGTAGTCAATATAAAAATGCTGACTTCGGTCAACCCTAACTGATATGACATAAAATAATGCAGTTCATTCCAAACACATGGTTTATGCATTTGTTGTCACAGTATTGAAAATCTCACTGATGAAGAGCGTGATGACTCCATTTTCCCAGCATAACACTTTTCTCGAGATTTATTGTAACAGTGAATTTTTTGTTTACAATAAATGTCTTGTCACCAAATAATGTGTTTTTTTGTATTTTTCATAGTATCCCGATGTAAGCACACTTAATATAAAACACAAAAACGAATAGTAATTGTGATTTTTGCAATTACTAATTTTGAAATAGAAATTTTGTAATGATAAAAAAAACAATTATGTTTCAGTATCCTCAAAGGAAACTTTGCTACACCAAAATCTAAAAGAGGCCAGTGGTAGCTGGACTTTTGAAGTTGATACTAATGTTAATATTTGAGAATTTAAAAAAAAAATCCTCTGACCTTATGTATTAAGTAAGTCAAATTGCTCAGAACATAAATGGGAAATGACTGTCTTGTGATATGGGTGAGTAGACCTTAAATAAAATCATCTATAAGTTTTCATGTAGGGCCTGGTATCCTGATCTGTGTTGCAACCATCCCCAGGGTTGGGGGTCAGTTACAACATTTGAATTCTTCCATCCAAATAAATATAGTGAATGATCCGTCATATGTAATCATCTTTAAATGGTATGGGTCATTAGCTAAAGATGTAAGTTTTATTCATAAAACTTTAGCTGGTTTAGAACAAATAGTCTCTGAGTAACTGAGAGAAATGAAAAAAATGTTGCAATCGCCCCAGTCTCCACCGAGTGTGTGCACGAGATATGTAGATTTCAAGTTATGTGATTTCATAACAGACAGGAGGGGGAAAGATTCTCCAGTCTCTTCATAGACTGTCACATTCACACCTGTCCCCCTGCAAACAAAGGCAGGTAGGAACCGTGCTCCACACTTAAATGTTACACTTACAAATTATATATATAAAATAATAAAGTACTGCAACTGATAATAAAATTATGTAATGAACTCAATTGAGTAATATTAATTAATAATATAATAAACTCAAACGATATTGCACCACTTAATATACAACACAAATTAATATGGTAAGTTTACAATTAAAATAATTCAAATGTGTACAATAATTAAGGTTACAGATACATTTAGACATTACCTGTGGCAACATCAACGATTTTCAAGCTATTCAAATATTTTTTGCAACAATATATTATTGTTATTATATATTATTGTTAATCTATATTATTGTTATTATATATTTCGCAACAAATACGTTACAAAACATATATGAATGGGGCGCTGACAATCTAAGATTTTATTATTAGTTACGTTCAGACCTATGGTTCTGACTGCAGGAGATCATGTGATCACACCATGTGACCGGGTTCAGAGTTGAAAGTCAAACAGCACTGCAGCTCGTGAGCATGGCGGTCCTGGTGGGACGCAGATCCCTATTGCAAGCCTTCCGCGTGCAGGTGGCAGATCGGGACAGCGCGTGCAGGTTGGCAGCGACCTCCTCCTGCACGCGACACTACCTGTTCTCCCGAACAGTGTTTCCCGCGTCACGGCTGAGCGGCCAGGGAGTAGGAATACGACACTACAGCTCCGACTCGAAGGACGACCTGCGCGTCAGATACCTGGACGGAGAGGACGACGGTAAGTTCCGGTCAGAGTCGGGAGCAGTTCACGCGTAAGTTTGGTAGCGGAAAAAACGGTTGTTGTTTAAAAAAGTTGGCATCGCAGCAAACCGGAACTAACTGAAACCTTATAAAGGCATAGTCCGCTATCCACATCAAATGCAAACAAAAGTAGAGCCCCGCCCACAATTAAAGTAGGGGGATTCTGTTGACGTTACGTACATGATAAGAACCCCCAAGACCCAGACCACTGCCAGCACTACTTGGTGACACAAACCTCATGAGGATGTGTCAGCTGAGGACCAGTCCACAGCCTGATACAGTCTCTGACTCTTCACTTCACAACCATGGTCTCCTCTGAGACACTGGTTCTCAGAGACCTGGTCCTGGTCCATGCAGCTAATGGGCCCCAAAGATGTAACAAGAACTGTTTATCCATCCTCCCCCTCCTCGCCTGCTGCCCCCTCCTGACCAGTGAGAGGGATGATGATGCTCCGTAAAAATGCACATTCACTTCATTATCTCTGCTGAGTATCCTGTCTGTTCATGACTCTCCTGACCACACATACTTCCATGAAATGTTTCTCTGCTATAACATTTATGTGGGAAGATAGATAGATAGGTAGAACTGTTCTGCAGTAGATAACGGGTGAAACTTGTGCACTCATGAATAATATCTGGTGCCTATTATAGACCGGGAATTGTCAGCAGTAACAGTAACCTGAGCTGGTGGTAGGCTCCAGTTAGGTGAGAAGGAGAAGATAAGATGCCAGTCAGGAGTCAACAGAGAGAGACCGAGCAGGTGGCAGCTTGTTGCGAGGCTGCAGATTTAATTTTTTTTATGTTATGGCTTAAGTTTTTTTTTTTTTTTTTTTTTTTAATTTCCCGGGGTTCGTTTTTCTTCTGTTTGGTATTACTATTATTATTATAACATATAATAAATAGGCCTATAATTATTATTTTTTGGAACATCCCTTTAAAGTTTACAGTGTCGAAACACCATCTTCTGCCCTTTATATGACAGGGTTTTTCCTGCATAGAGAATTGGGAGGCGGCCGCCTCGGCCTCCCGACAAAATTCCTGTAGGCCTACTTGTTTTCTCGGTACGCGCTGGATTTTCTGCCTGCGGAAGGAGGCAGCGACCTGATTTTGAGTGTGGTGAACAGGTGAACAGGGTTGCCACCCGTCCCGTATAATACGGGACCGTCCCGTATTTGAAAATAAAATGCTGCGTCCTGTATTGAATCAATACGGGATGCCTCCGCCTCCCAACATAATTTTAGTACTTGTTTTCTCGTTACTCCGTGAATTTGAATCAATACGGGACGCAATTTGTCCCGTATTTTCATTCATGCTATGTCCTCAAAGTGCTGTGAATAATGTAATGTCAAGTAAAGCCAAACCAGTTGCCACTTTTTTTCACATTAAAGGTGGCAACCCAACAGATGGATATTATCACTTTTACATCCAAGCACACCCAGCTTCTTGAAAAGTTCCCCTAAATTAATGTTACATCCCATGGTGTATGTTTTTTTTTTTCAGAAATGTCTCAAATCACAGATTATTTTAAAAAGAGATCTCGCGAGGAGGAGAATCTCGAGGACAGGTGAAACAGTGCAGAGTGCAGACATCATTAGTTCTTCTAATATGGGGAAAAAAGTTAATTCATGTTACTGACGAGATATGGTTAATGTGTCAGGACTGACAGTTCTCAGCCACAAGTGGAATGTGCCGGTGGAGGATAGATCAGAGCGTGAGAGAGGAGTCAAGGAGTACCAAGTCTTTAGCAGTGTATTAACGAGTGTATTAAAGCTGAGGTTTACATGATTTTAACATCAGTTTTTATTAATCTTCCCAGATGTTCTGAAAAGCACCCCCTGGGTGGGACTGGGACTTGCATTTCCGTTGTTGTAATGTGAACTTTTTGTTTGACATCATGTGATGTGATGTGATGTCTGGAATGCTGCCTTTCATGAACGTGTTACCTGCATGCAGTTGTTAATCAGAACGTTTGAACACTGTCTTTCAGGTATTGTTGTTGTTGGAATAAATCGACCAAAAGCCAAAAATGCCATCAGCAAAAATCTGGTCAAAATGGTATGTATGGCTTTTTGTTTTACCTTTTTTAGTCTTAAAGATAGATAAAGAAGATGAAAAAGTCAGTGATTGGTAACAAAAGGAAGGCTGGAATTCTGTTTCATGTAGCTGCATGTAGGTTCGTATACACAGAGGTCACTGTTTCTTTTAGATTAGATTAGATTAGATTAGATTAGATTAGATTAGATTAGATTAGATTAGATTAAGACTGTTTCTTTTACACTTGTATGTAGTACATTTGTTTTCTTCTTCATGGTTTTTCTGCTGTCTCTTAGAATAAATGATGTCTGAGTTTGTCTTGAACTATGTTCCAGTTTTTTTTTTTTTTCTTAGGTAATATAAAATGAGTGTTTCTGGGGAAAAAAATGTTTTTGTCTTTCAGATGTTTGAGGCTGTGGAGGATATCAAGAAGAATAACAAAGTGCGCAGTGTCATTTTATGCAGTTTGGTTCCTGGGATCTTCTGTGCAGGTACTCTGTGATTATTGCAGTGGATTTCATTTCATATTGGGATTGTTACTCTGTAATGCTGATCAGGTTTGAATCTAGTAGATAGAATTGTGTATTCTTGATGAAATCTTGATGGTGAACTTTTAGCAGATACCACCCTGCAGCCCTGTGCTCCCACAGGCCTCTGGCTTAATGTGGACACTCTCTTCCTGTGTGTGCAGGTGCAGACCTGAAGGAGAGGGCTAAGATGCACCAGAGTGAAGTGGGACCGTTTGTGTCCAAAGCACGAGCACTCATCACAGAGCTGGGTAAAGACTGATGGAATCCAGTTACGTTCATGATCTAGAGATAGTCTGATCCCTCTTTTTCTTTAATGATACCTGAATTTGTGTATCAGCCGATATAGAGTAGCCTACTGATCCGATACCAATGTGTTAAAAAAAATTTAAACAGCTATATACTACTAACACTGTATGGATTAGGCCTGCACGATATGAGGAAAATTTGCGATAAATAAAAAAAAATGCTGAAGTGTGCATATACAGTTTTGTTGAGCTAAGCTGAATGAAGAACACAGTCAAAGGTCACTATCAGTCATGTCCTCCGTCCTTCTCTCTCTGCTGCAGGTAGTGCTGCTGGGGGGGGGGGGCTACTGTCTCAGGCTGTAGTTATAATTTGACAAATGATTGTGGCAAATGAAGGTGCAGTCTACACACACAGTTTTCCTTTTAGCTTGTTGATAACATTTCACTATTAGCTCAACGTTAGCGCGCTGCGCTCGTGTTTAACAAACCGCGGTGGATGGTAGAAATTGACAATGTAGCTTTTCTTTGTTTAAATCTTGTTGAACAGGTGGCGTGATGAAGGACACTAATTACTTGTTTGCTACGACCGTAACTGTTATCAGCTCCGGTAAAAAGGTCATTCCGCACAGGTCTCCACCGCCGCCTCTGTGCTGTCGTCTGTGTGAAAAGCCCGACAACAAACGTGGCATTTTTTCCCACAATGTTTAACATAGGTGCTGTGCCTTTAAAACCTCTTCGTGCATGGCGTGTGTAAATACAATTATTTTTCTAGGTTATCGCGTTTCTCTCAGTCTTTTGCTTATTTGTTTTTGCTTTTGTTTATTGCACGTGTTCATATCGCGATGACGATGAAAATACGGTCGGTATTGGTCAGTACTCGTATGGATGTGATATGATTGCTGCTGTTGTTTGGCTCAGGTTATACCCCTTGTGAAACATGAACAGATGAACACCTCTTTGATTCACAGTGGAAACGTCTTATAATGCTCACAGTTACACTGATTAACAGTTTATATGGATAGAACGCTTGGGATATAATCACTCCTATACAAATGCTATTTAAATAATTCACTAATATTAATCAAGTAGTCCACTCACAGTGTTAATGTAGAGTCTTTTCATACATAAAAAAAATAGTAGCATCATATTACCAGTGCTGTAAAGGTTAGAAGAGCTGTGCTGGTTAAAACAGAAGCACTGTCAAAATGTAATAATTCTCATTTATAGGTTAAAGCTCTCGGTCCTGATAGGACAGCATCTGTATTAGTGATTTTGCTATTTACCAGACAGGGTTTCAGGGTATTGGGGCCAAATGAGGCTCAACCAGTTGTTAAATCCAAGGTTCACTCACTGTTTCCATCAGCACTGAGAATGTTTAATGGCTGAGTTCAGTAAAGACACTGTGTTTGTCTGTATTAATGACCTGGATGAAGATCAGATCAGATTTTATGACAGGTCAGTGCAGAAAACCAGGTCATTCAGAGGGTTCAAAGGTACTTTTTCTTGCCACTTTATATCTCTTAATTGGTCTTGATTAGTTGATCTTTTATTTTACAGGTAACCTGCCGGTACCAACAATTGCTGCAATTGATGGGGCTGCATTAGGAGGAGGCTTGGAAATGGCCCTGGCCTGTGACATCAGAGTTGCCTGTAAGACTCAGTGGACTTTATTCTGAGGTTACTGATAAGTCTGTCTCTGGTCTATGAGCAGAACTGTTCGTGTTAATAAGGAGCACAAAAGTTTGGTTGATAGTTGAGTTGATTGTGTGTGTACCAGCTACAGACAGGTGACAAATTAAAGGAAAAACCAACATAAAGCGTGTAAGTAAGACATTGTTCTTTGAGTGACACCACTTCCTGTCCTGATGTTTTACATATGACAAGTATAAAGACAGGAAATGGTGTTATTGATGTTTGACTGGTCCAGTTAAAATGACTCTAATTCTAAATGATTTTCTTCTTTGTACAGAATGAACTTATACTAGTAGTGGCAGCAAAAGTATTTATGTGAAAATAGTAAAGCTTCTCTTTGATCTTTGTAGCAAATACTGCGAAAATGGGACTAGTGGAGACAAAGCTTGCAATTATTCCTGGAGCAGGTAAGGCTGGATTTTTTTTATTTCATAGTACCTGTTTTAAATTTATGTACATATCTGCACTTCATTTAAAGGGCTGTTTGTAAGTTTTCTCTGCTGCCAAAAGTGGTTTCTTGTCAGGAGCAGCTGGCAGTGAAGAGCTTCAGTCATCATTGTCTTTATAATACAAGAGGTTATAATACATCCTCTGAGCAGCTACGTCTTCAGGGCAGATTGGAGGCTACAGTGACTTTTGAAGTTGTGAAGTAGCGTGTGATCCATTGCACCATTTCTGTCACTGTGATCAAAACCATTGAAAGCACTGACTGAAGCAGTTTCTCCAGCACTATTTGGCAGATACAAGACACGTCAGAGTGAATCGAGCTGCCACTAATGTTTGCTCAGCATGTTTCTCTGACAACTTATGATTCAGGCGTTGAGGGGGTTTTTTACCAGGAAGTCTCCTCCTCTCTAAAACAAACAGAACAGATGATTAAATCCAGCAAAAACACTGAATAGTGAAAAACCATAACACTGATGCATACACAAAAGGGGTATGACACCATTGACAGGTGTTTGTTAACTTGATTAAAATCACAGATTTCTCTGGTTTGACAATTCATGGAAACATTTGGCATAATATGATAACACAACTCAGTAATATATAACATAAGTGTAGTAACTGTAATGTGGAAAAGTTTCTTATTATAACTTTGATAACACAAATTATTGTATTCTTGTTCATATTGAATGCATCGTTCAGATATTCACAGTCTAGGTTGGAAACAGTGTGTGAACACCTTGGCTCAACAACAGCAGCTACAGTCCCTGACAAAAGTCTTGTCACTTATCCATTTTGTAGAAACAACAGCTTATAACCTGACTTTTAATTAATCCATTGGTTTTAGAGATGGCTCATATGAAAGCTAAAACCCTCCCAAATTATGTTTAATATACTAAAATAAATTTGCTTCACTGAAGAAAGATTGATCAATTAATGAACACAGAAAGGTCAGATTTTGGCAAGTTTTGTCGCCTACAGAGAGTAATGTGAAAATTGAACAAATAATTTACTTCAAATACAAAAATATGTTGCATAACATCAGTGAATTAAGTAGTGGTGCTGTGAGATCCATATTTAATATCTTGTATGACTTCCATGAGCTTGAAGGACTGCATCCATGCGGTTCGACAATGATTCATACAATTTATTGATGAAGTCATCAGGAATAGCAAAGAAAGCAGTCTTACATGCCTCCCAGAGTTCATCAAGATTCTTTGGTTTCGTCTTCCATGCTTCCTCTTTCATTCTACCCCAGACATGCTCAATGATGTTCATGTCTGGTGACTGGGCTGGCCAGTCCTGGAGCACCTTGATCTTCTTCGCCTTGAGGAACTTTGATGTAGAGATAGAAGTATGCGATGGAGCACGATCCTGCTGCAAAATTTGACCCCTTTTATGGTTGGGAATGTAAGAGGTAGCTAATACTTCTTGATATTTTAGGCTATTGATATTGCCTTCCACCCTGCAAATCTCTCGCACACCCCCATACTGGATGTAACCCCAGACCATGATTTTTCCGCCACCAAACTTAACTGTTTTCTGGGTGAATCTCGGATCCATGCGGGCTCCAGTAGGTCTCCTTCAATATTTGCGGCGGCTGTGATGTAATTCAACCGAAGATTCATCTGAGAAATCCACCTTCTGCCACTTTTCCAGCGTCCATCCTTTTAGCAGGCTGTGGGCCTTGGCAAATGCCACACGTTTTTTTAATTGCCTTTTGTTTAGTGCTGGTTTCTGGGCACTGATTCGACCGTGGAGGCCATTTCGAGACAGAATTCTACAAACTGTCCTGGTTGACACGGGGACTTGAGGTGACCAGGCCTGGTGGAGCTCTGCTGCAGTGGAAAAGGGGCTGGCCTTGGATTTTCGACCCAACAAACAGTCCTCCCGAGCAGTTGTCTTGCGGGGTCTGCCGGACCTGGGCTTGTCAAAAACATCTCCAGTCTCTTCACATTTTTTTCTTATTCTTTGTACTTGACGCTGAGACACATTGAAGGTGTCAGCCACCTCAGCAGTGGATCTGGTCTTCAGCCTCTTGATAATCAACGCTTTGGTCTCAGGGTGAATCTTAGGCATGTTGTCAGAGGTCAAGTTGCAGTTGATGTGAAGGTCTGGTGTGCTGGGGTTCTTTTTATACACACCCACTAATTGATTGATCGATTATTGATCAGAGGTGAGGCTGTAATCTAGGATTGGGTGCATCATATGACAAGGCGACAAGACTTTTGTCTTTGCAAAAACTGACTCAGTGGACTTTACCAAGCTGTGAACGTTTGGCACGTTTCGTTTGGCACCAAAACATTATTTCAAAAGCTGTTGGGATTGAAATTAGCCATTTCTTGTAAAAAAAAAAAAAAATTGATTACAAATATATTTGAGGGGCACTTAAGGTCAACTTGTACCCAAGCGACAAGACTTTTGTCAGGGACTGTACAGACAGCTGATTTGAGGTGTGACTGGTTATTAAAGGGTTCACTTACTTTCTCCACCAGCATTTATGTTTAATGGATGTGTTCAATAAAGACATAGAAGTTTGTGTTATTAGGCCAAGCACATTATATTTGTCTGTACATGTGACTTAAACGAAGATCACGTCACATTCTATCACCAACTAATGCAGACCAGAGATTACCTGCTATTTTTCCTTGCCACTGCAATCTTCACTTAACTTTTATGGAGATGAGGCTTATGTAACCCTGTATATCCACAGGGATCTGGCTGTGTAGCATTCTGGCTAACCTGCAGCTCCATCACTGCTTGAATATCCACTGGAAACGCTTTAGGAGTGGCCACATTTCCAATTTAGTTCAGTTGTTTTGACATTTTTCAGTCGAAGACATTTGCAGTTTCTTCAGATACTTTGTGGTTGTACTATGAAGATCCTTTTTCTATAATTACTCATTTTAAATGTCAGTGTAGCCGATGACCTGTATTATCATCAGCCTCTGTGGTGGAGGCCATGTTCCATCTCTGTTTGATCTCTCCTGTGCAGGTGGCACACAGCGTCTCCCCAGGGTGATAGGCGTTTCTCTTGCTAAGGAGCTCATCTTCGCTGCCAGGGTGGTGGATGGAACAGAGGCGTGTCGCCTGGGTCTTGTCAGTAACTCTGTGGAGCAGAATAAGAGCGGAGACGCTGCCTACCTGCAGGCTCTGCAGCTCGCCCGCGAGATCAACCCTCAGGTAACTGCTCACTGACGAGTAGACCTTTATATCAAGAACGTTCCATTGACGGAGGAAAATAAAGGTGATTTAGTTATGACTGTCTTGACTAAATCAACATGACTTTAGGCCTGCAGTAATTTCATCATAATATTGTGCTGATTCAACAATTTACAAGAGCAGTTTATATCATACGCAGTCATTCATTAAGCCTTTGAACCTGTAAAAAGTCTCACTCTCATTTTTGACTCCACAGGGTCCCATTGCAATAAGGATGGCAAAACTCGCAATCAATCAGGGGATCGAGGTGAGTCTTAGAGTCAGTATAGAGCAGCTTTTACACTATTGTACAACTGCTTTGGCTCAATATTCACAAGTGTTTCAGTTGGCAAAACTCCAAGTTCCTCTCTAGACATGTTTTAAACTTAAAATCTTCTGCTATGATTCATATGTTGTTTAACATGTTTTCACACATTAAACTGGGTCTGAAGCTCATCTCCTCTTACTTCCTGATTGAGAAATGTGAATCAGGCCTTGAGCCCCGCCCACCACCTGCTTGCTCCAGGTGTACAGGTGAGAGAGCAGAGAGCATCAAGATGGTTAGAGGAGGAAACATCAGAGAGACTCAGCCACATGTTTGAGCCTCAGTCAGATCCAGACTCAGAGGAGGAGTCTGAGACCAGAACCAGAGACTAGCAGACGGATCAGAACAGTTAGCATAGTTAGCATCTTCTATTTGTTTATGTGGCTTGTTAGCTTGTAACTGGCATTGGCTTACACAGTGTTAGTGGTTGTGCTAATGCTAACTCTCTCTCTGTGCTGAAAAGGTTTCAGGTTTATTTAGCCCCGCCCCCCGTCCCCACAAGTTGACAGGATTGGTTCCTTAGGTTTGTGACGTATGAAACCCTGGTTGTCTGAATCTGTGTTTATGAGACTGTCATTGGTTCACTGCAGTTCAAGGTGGAAACACTCCGTCAGGGTGTTGATGATTATTTCACTCATCATATGTCTTGTATTAGATTAAAAAAAAACATATGGACATTTGAGGGCGTCTTTAACATCTTTTGCATCATTCAGAGCGTCTTCTTCACCCGTGGCACCTCTGGGTGTTGTAGATAGAGAGGTGGCAGCCTTTGGGAAGAAGCTGTAGATCTGCAATACCGTAGATGAGTGTCCGACACTTTGACCAGAGAACATAAAATGACACATGACCCGATGAAAACAATACAACTGCCAAAGCCTGAAGAGCGCCACAGCTGCGTCTGACCGCGCCACCATCTTGGAAACATAATGAGGATTTGATGATGAGAATTTATTATTGCTGGTACTTTGTATTTAAGTACACTCTTTTGTGTTTAAAGGTGAGAACCTGGTTTTGACTCTCCATCAACATCTGTGCAAACTGAAGCTCTGTTGTGAAAATTGAACCAAAGCAGATGGAGGTGACTGTAAATCCAGGCTTGAGCTGCATCACCTGCTCCCACAGATACTAAGATAAAAGCTGTCATGTCATGAGATGGTGATGAGAGCTGCTCTGAGAAAGTCTGATTTCTGTGAGAATTTCTATCCAGTTGCTTTTAGACTGAACATCCTTCATGCTGTGTAGCAGTTGCAGTCAGTAAATCTCCATGTTATCAATGAGAAATCAGGTCTGAGTTACATATGAGGAGACAATAGTTTTCAGCTGTATTATGAGCATTTGCTTCTCTTTCAGGTGGATTTATCTACAGGTCTGGCCATTGAAGAGGCATGCTACGCCCAGGTGAGAGTTTAAAACATTCACTTCACAATTATTTACACAAGTGAAACAGCTCTCCCTGCAGGGTCTTACCCAGGAAGCAGGTTAATGAAAGCAGTAAACTGACTCAAGATAAAATAAAAATAGAGGTGCATCTTCTTCAGCACTGACACACATGTATTGTCTTCAAGGTGATTCCAACTAAAGATCGATTGGAGGGATTGGCTGCTTTCAAGGAGAAGAGGCGTCCTCACTTCAAGGGGGAGTGAGACATCACTCCGCACAGAGACAGTTCTGTCTTCAGCGCTGCTCCTGTTCCACTGCTTCCAACATATTTATGGGTGAAACTGTACACATCAACGCATTAACCCGTACAGTATCCAGGGGACTGCAGGACATTAGGATTGATCCTGGCTGCTGTTTCGGCCAGTGACTTAAATGTTAATGTGTAAAGCTGGGTATGTCAACTGTCACTAAAGCATTTGGAGAAACCAAGTGAATTAACCAAGCATTGGACACTGCTTCCCTGACTAATGAACCAATCCAAGAGCTGCTGAAATGTCCATAAAGTTATGTGAATTCTGCCGATGATTGATGCTTCAGAAAGTCCGTCGCTTTTTTACTTTGGTAGAAATGTACTACTGTGTTCATGACACTGAATAACACCAGAGGTGTCTGCATGAAATCATTAAACAGCTGGTTTTTCCCTCATGTGATCCATGTTCAGAGGCCAGAGTGTTGGATTTAAAAGGGTGAAATGTGGTGGATTCAATGATTTCTATTTTTGGTTGTAACAAAAAAAAGAAACACTAAGCCAACAAAAACAACACATAGTCTGACTCAGTTATCTACAGAATTGTCCCATTTTCTACAAATCTCAGCTTATGCTCTAAATGACATCAAACCATCTACATATACTGGCTTTAAGGACCACTAAGCAGTTAACCCCAAAGGTTCTTCACTTATGCATTTTACACCTTTTTTGGATGTTAGCATAGACTGTAAATAAAAATGAGCATAGACTCCATGACATCACCCATAAGTTTCCTGAGGAGTGGTTTTCAGGCTCAGTGTGGTGGCTCTGACCGTTGCCATCTTTGGATTTCCTGACTGAGGAGGTGGGGTGTAGGTGGAAACAAATGAAGCCTGGGGCTGCTTTCACAAAGATAGATTTTAACTGTGGCTTAGATATAATAAACAGTCAGACTTCAGATAGACTGACTCTAAATTCAACCTTTGCACAAAGCAGTTTAGTTCTTGACTACCTTGAGTTGGACTGTAGTGAAATGAATTCTGGGTGAATTAAGACTTTTTTCAAAATTAAAAAAAAGGCAACTCAGGAACCGCATCCAGCCTCTGCTCTGTTTACCTCAGCAGAAAGTGTCTTTAGGAAGAATTCATTAGTTACAAGGATGTTTCATTCAGTGAGAGTGAAACAATAAAAAGAAAAAAAAAAAAAAAATCTCTGCAGTCTCTAAAAACTTTCCCTTCTCTTTGCTCTCTCCATAACGTTAGCAAACCACAAATTATGAGCCACATTTTTTTGTTTTTTGTTGTTGGTTGCTACTGGTCAGCGCCGGTGTCATTGATTGTTACCATGGTAAAGTACACTGGCCACCACAGACGTCAAAGGACCTGAGCTTCCTGAGGAAAAAGAACCAGCTCTGCCCCCTCAGGTAGATGGCATCAGTGTTCAGGGACCAGTCCAGTTTACTGTCCAGGTGCACACCTAGGTATTTATAAGTGTGCACCACCTCAATGTCTTTCCCTCGAATGTTGACTGGCTGAAGGGTGGGCCTAGACCTCTGAAAGTCCATGACCATCTCCTTGGTCTTGGAGGTGTTCAGAAGGAGGCAGTTCTTGTCGCTCCATTCACTGAAGGCCATCTTCAGATCCCTGTACTCCTCTTCCTGCCCGTTCCTGATACGCGCCACAATAGCTGTTGCATTCGAGTATTTGTGGATGTAGCAGGACTCAGAGTTGTATTTAAAGTCGGTCGTATACAGGGTGAACAGGAACTGAGCCAGAACGACGGCATCATGCACTCCGATATGTTCTTTGTAGGTGAACTGTAGGGGGTCTAGTGCATGTTCAACCTGTGGCCTCAGAAGGTGGAGGAGCAGCCGCTCCAGGGTCTTCATGATGTGTGATGTGAGGGCCATCAGCTGAGATAAAGACCAGCTTTACTCTATGTACCGAAACAAGACGTGATGTTTTCCACAGGGACCCTCCCTGTTTATAGACTTAAAACTTAATGTTTCAGTCTAACTATAATTTACAATTACAGATTCAATGATGATTTTATTATCATAATTCATGAAGAGAAACTGTATGAGAAACACCTTTTCATATTACAGTCACCAGCTACAACAACACAGCAAGGCTCAAAAATGACCATATAGCTCTATAACTACAGGTTAGTACAGAGGCTGAGACTGGACAGTCCAGCACTAAATACATTTCTGATGAAATCAGAGCAGAAAACAAAGTTATACAACATTATCCTGCTAAATAAACACTAACAAGCTTCCTGTTGTCTTCTGCCTGGACTGGTGATTATACCTGACTCACTGGGAGCTGTACTGGGAGCTGTGCTCCTAAACTCACTCTGCTGCTCCTGTTTGAAGCATGTGGATTTTTCTGGATTTTAATTTCAGATCTCTGAGCTTTTCAGCCACAGTTGCAGGATCAAATAGTTTCTGGGGAGGAGAAACATGACGTGAGGGAGATAGAACCAGAGGGGGCTCCACAGTCTCTCTCTGATGTTTTATGTTCTTCACATAGTGTGGTGGCACATCGGGAAAAGTCCTGGTTCTTTTCAGTGGCCACTCTGGCATTGCCATACGACACAGACTTTATCCCCAACAGATTTAATATGGATGAGTAAAGGGCTCACATTGTTATTTTATTTGAATTTGAATATTTTATTTTAGTGAATGAAAATGTTTTTTCACATCTAGTTTCATTATTTCGTTAGTTTTACTTTACGATAACAAACTTGGCACATTCAGTTACCTCTATTATCTCTGTATGACACTGATTATTTTGTGTCTGTTTTCAGTCAGTTTGTATTATCATTTATTTCAACCTCAAACTGAAATAAAGCTCTATTGACTAGTTCAATGCACATAAAACCTGATCTCCAGTCTACCTGTGGGTGACATCACTGCAGCCATGTTTTCCTACAGTCTGTGATCAGGACTCAGTGTTCAGGGTAGAGTCAAGTCCCTGTCAGCCTGCAGCTGCAGTGCTGATGGTGGGGTCAGGGTTATCATGAGGACAGGTGTGTGTGTGTGTGTGTGTGTGTGTGTGTGTGTGTGTGTGTGTGTGTGTGTGTGTGTGTGTGTGTGTGTGTGTGTGTGTGTGTGTGTGTGAGAGAGAGCCTGTTAACAGACTGTTGAGCCCCTGGCCAGCGGTTGCGTGCAGGCCTGCCCTGTGGCTTCGTGCTGCTGCACAGAGCCTGACACCAGGCTGCACATCCCCACTGTGGCTGGCCTCCTTCCGGCAGATGTCCAGCTCTAAGCCGGGGGGGAATCTCACCACAAGTCAAGGTTGCGTAAAGAAAGACCGGTTCCCCAACACTGAAGGCCTGCACCCAAGCCACTGCTCATGGGAAATGTCGAAGGTGTAACTGTAACGGCATCCTTCACAGCGTTTTTGACTTTGTTTTTTTCAGTTTTTAGATTATTTTTCTTGAGGAACAGCTTCTGTCATCATAGGTCTCATCTCAGTCTCATTCCTCCACATGTACAGACACGTTTCTGTTCTAACTGTTTCTCCACAGGTGGCTGTGGGCCTCAGATGTACTGAAGTCTCTCTGACTGGAGTAAACACTTTCAGACGTTGTGATGTTGGCCTCAGTTCAGCTGGGCATTGTCCCCAGTGACAGGGACGATGGAAAAATGCTCATCTAACTTATCACAGGAAAAAAAGCTCAGGTGTCACTAATAATAATATGACGGCTCGGTTCTGTTCAGTGTTCTAGTGGGTTGTGACAATGTGACAGGGTCCTGGTTCTGCTCATGCTGGCTCACTGAGACTGAAGCAAATGTCTTCAGGGAAAAGGGGTTCTGCAGAAATGTCCGACTGTCTGCTCTGATAGATTCCTCCTGAATTAAAGCTGCTACACAGATTGTTTACCTGAGGGTCACACAGTGCATAATAACCAAAGGGTGTAGTGGCTGACAGGTTGGGAGTCATTATTACTCAAATCATTTATCATAAGTAATTAATAAAGAGTAATAAACATTAAATTCTGTGGTTACATATGTTGGCGAAGTCTTGAATAAAAGCTCATAGATTTCTCACTCTAACAAGCCAACAGCAGAAGTTAATAAGTCATGTTCACTGTATATATGTATATATTTACCCTTGGGGCACATCATGTGTAGTCATGACAACAATGTCCATTTCTGTGCAGGTGACACCGCCGTGTACGTCCCGTTAAAGCCTCATACCACAGATGATTCTTGTACTCTGTCCTGCCTGGCTGAAATTAAAACCTGCATGTCCAAACATTTCCTGCAGGTGAATGACTCCAGATCAGTCTGTGTATCTGTATCTGTGGTAGTTTAACCCCTGTGAACCTGACCCCTGCCTGAGATCCTCCAGCAGGGCCAAACTAACAGTCCCAACATGTTCACCTGTCACTAGGGGGACTGGGCCTTTGCTGTTTGAGTTGATGTAACTATTAAAATGATTTTATCTGGTTATATTTAATGTTTTGGATTTTATTTACTTTCATTATCTGTTTTTATTGTAAATCACTTTGTCAATATGATAAAGGCTTTTCCAATTATTAATATAGTCTACTGATCTTAAAGATGCACTGCACCTTTTTTCCAAAAGGTCAAAGGTTAAATGGTCCAATAGAGGGTCTACCTGATAAATAAGGAGCTAAAGTAAAAGTCATGATGAGGGACACTTACCCAGCCAGAGAGATGCTTCATAATATATGGTTCGGCCATTTAACAGAAATATAAAATGTGTTCAGTCCTGTGTTACAGGTAGATGTTAAAAGGTGGAGGTTAATGTGACACTTTAGTCCTACATGCACATCTTGTGGGGCTTTTTCTTTATGTGGACAATGAAAGTTTATGATATCTGACAGTAATCTTTCCTTTTATTTTGTCCATTCTTTTAGGTGTACCAAGTCAAGCTGACATGAGGCCATGGCACTTGATCACAAAGAAAAAACTGCAGACTGCTGGGTAAACAGATGTTAACTCAAAGCTTCTGTTTTAGGGCTTCAGTTGAAAATCACTTTGACTCTGCTGTCTCCTGCTGGTGGAGCAGCTCTCCACAACTGACCGAACAAACTGCTCCGAATAAAAGAACTCACAAACACATCTCTGTCAGTTTCTCACAGTGGAATGAATTATTCACATTAAATTAGGTCTCAGCTCCAACATTGCAACAACAAAATAAATAATAATATTAATGAATTGATATAAAGTTCTGGGATACCTCGCCAACTATTTCAGATTCATCAGCAATTATCTGATGTCTTTTAGATTTAGGAATTTAGTGGGTAAAATAAATTCTCATGTCTTGCTGCAGTTCTGCTTAGGATGTTTAAGATAACAGGACTGAGCGGGGAAATGGTTATTCATTTCCTACACAGATTCTTTGAGGATCTATTTTTTCCGGTAAATGGTCGAACCATCTTGGTCGAAGGTTGTTCTAACTATACCTTTATCATCAGCCTTCAC